TCAGCAGGGTGTTGTTCCACACCTGGGAGATCTGGGAAGTGGGGAGGAAACCAAGGAGGAGGGGTTGAGGAGAAGAAAGGATTCAGGTGGGAAACACCAGGCAAGTTACAGGAGCTGGAGGGGGTGGCAGGAGAAGCGACCTGGACAGGCTGAATCCAGGGGTAGAGGCCAATTTTCTGAGGTTCAACCAGGCCAAGTCCAGGTCCTGCACAGGCAGGGACACCTCCCAGCAGCCCAGGCTGCTCCAAGCCCCATCCAACCTGCCCTTCAACACTGCCAGGGATGGGGCAGCCACAGCTTCCCTGGGCAACCTGGGCCAGGCTCTCCCCACCCTCACAGCCCAGAATTTCTCCCTCCCATCTCAGCTCCAGCTCCCTCTGCCAGCTGGAAACCCTTCCCCCTGCTCCCATCCCTCCCTGCCCTTGTCCCAAGCCCCTCCCCAGCTTTCCTGGAGCCCCTTCAGGCACTGGAAGCTGCTCTCAGGTCTCCCTGGAGCCTTCTCTTCTCCAGGCTGAACACCCCAACTCTCCCAGCCTGGCTCCAGAGCTGCTCCAGCCCTCCCAGCATCTCCGTGGCTCCTCTGGACTCTCCAGGAGCTCCATGTCCTCGTTGTGTTGGGAATCCCAGAGCTAGAATCCAGCCCTCCAGGTTCAACTCCATGTCTCCCAGTCCTGCCAACCCCAGGGGTCCCAGCCCACGTTCCACCTCACTCCCCTTCCCCCCTAAAACCGTCCCCTCTCCAGCAGGGCCCTCACCTGGGAATCCGTCAGCCCCAGGAGCTGTTGGAAACGTTCATCCCGAAGAATATTTTCAGTGTCCAGTTTTTTTTCCACGGCCAGCCTGGAGAGCTGAGTGATGACCAGGGAAGCCTGGTTGCTGTTCAGAGCATGGAGCTCACTCAGCTGGAACAGTTCCTGGGGGCTCGAGGCCGTTTCGATCAGTTCCCCGATCATTTTATCCGCGTTCCCACCTTCCTCCACCTCTTCCCTGACTGAGAATCCATCCGCCCGGCCCAAAAGGTTGGAAATATGGATCAGAGCCAAAGGGGTGGGAGGCAGAGCTCTGGCCAGGGCCACTTTCCCAGCTGGATGCAGCAGAGAGGCCGGGGTGGCAGCGGGAGGAGGGAGGAAGGTCCCCAGGTCCCAGCAGCAGCAGCGCCGCACCAGGCGAGCGGC